TGCTCCTCCTCTGGTAGTGTTGTGCTGTGTCCCAGGAGGAGGGCGAGCAGGCAGGTGCCTGTACCCTTGGTCTCATGCAGCTCTCCCATGTCACATCCTACAGGCTGCATGGCCAGAGCAGCAGCTGGTCCCAAAAGCAGGACCTGAGAGAGGTCCAGCATCTCTAAAAACCCATAAACAGGGCTTTTCCAGAACAAAATTAGTGCTTCTGGCCCTGTGCAGGGGAGTGGGACAGCTGGACCAGCAGAACTTCTCGCATCTATCCATCCTTTCACATGCTCCTCTCCCCCAGACCCCAGCAGTGTCTGGGTGCTCACCCACCCCCGTTTTGCTCCTGTTTAACTCCAGGAGGGCTCTGGGCCATGGGATTCCTTGGGGCCACTGGGTGAGATTCCTATTTGGGATCCTGACCGCTTTCAGATCCTATAAATCCCAGCCCTGTCTTGAAAAGCGGAACTGGAGGCTTTGGGGTGGAGGAGGAGGAGGAGAGAAATGCTGACCCTAGAGCCTGTCAGACAAACCCATAAAGTACAGAGTAAGTGGGCCAAGTGAGCCAAGCCACGAACAACAGCCCCAATTTATTCAGATTCCAGCACAGCGAGGGGAAACTGCAGCAGCCGCTCCGTCCAGGGCTCTAATTGCAAAGAGGCCAGGGCGTGGTGCGAACGGCCGCTGCTGCTCTGGGTTTGTCCCAGGGCACGGCCTCTCCCTGGGGATGTCCCAGACAGGTGACCTGGAACCTGCTGCCCTCAGTGGCTGCCGAACAGGGCTGCCCCCTCAGTCCTCAGGGGACTTTCCTCATTCCCTGCCCAGACTCAAGGGATGACCTTTCCTCCACACTGAAGACACTTTGTCGTTCGTGGGGCTTCACCAGGCAGATCCCGGGAGCCCTCACTTTCCCAGCCAGGCAAACTTCCAACGAGGCCATAACAGACAACTCCGGATGGGTAAAATCAGTTTGGTTCCAGGAGGTTCCACAGGGAAACATTAAACCCCCTGTGCCATAAGCCCATGGAGCTGAGGCAAGGCCGTTCCAAACCCTGCATGCCAACAGCACATGCCCAGATCCCTCATGCTGCTGGAAGGGGAGCAGGGCTGGAGAATAACTTGGGAAAACAAAATAAACGGCAAGGAGGGACTTGGAGGAGTAGCTGCTGCCACGTCCGTGAGCACACAGAGACTGAAGGAACCGGCAAACACGGGCAAGAACGTCGGCTGCCTCACGGGCTGTGGCAGCTGGAACCTGCCCTGGGCTGCATGTGCTCCTGCTCCCAGGCTCCTCAGGCCTGGCCATAGCCCAGCTTGGGGCACAAGGCACTGGTTTTTGTCTAACATGCAGCTAAAATACCTACAAGGCCCGAAATGTGGCTTTAGTAGCTGGAATCAGGGCTGTCACAGCAGGGAGGGACCAGGTGAGCATACACACACTCTTGGGACTCTCCTCCTTGTCGAGCAGAGCGGGGAATAGGGAACTGCCATCTGTTTCCAAAGATCCCAATGTATTCTTTTTTGTTTCTTCACCAAATCAGATCAGATTGTGCCAGCTTTTCCAGTCCCAGGGCAGTGGCCTGATGGGGCAGTTCTGAGTTTGGGGGGCTGAGCACATCCCACCTGGGAGACTCCCCACGGCCTCACTGGGGCTCCTGGAATGTCGTGATGAGCTCTCGCTGCTCTTTACCAATCGCCTGGAAGGGAAACAACATGCAGAGCTCAGCAGGATGCGGCTCCCCACTCAGGGTTGAGTGTGTCACACACATTGCTGTCCCCTGCACACACAGAACACAACTCCCTCCTCTCCGGTGGGAACAGCTCATATCCCACCCAGTGCAAAGGGAAAAGCAGCTGAGACGTCCAGAGAAAATGCCCAGGCCTCCAGTTTCAGCAGGACTTGGCTGCTGGGGAGGCCTTGGAGAAGTGGAGGGTTTAAATGTCGTTCACCAGCTGGGCACCATCGAGCCTCCCTTGGGCTGGTGCTGTGAGGAGAAGGGTTTTATCTGTTTTTACCTGCCAGGCTTGTTTGCGAGCCTGGATGAGCTGCTGCAGCTCTGCAATCCTGTCCCGCCCTGCCAGCACAGACTTGGCCACCTTCCTGTTCTCCTCCTCCTTCTCCCCGAGCACCTTGCGCAGGTAGGAGCGGTGCTTCAGCAGGTAGGGCACCAGGGCACTTCGGACATCCTCCTCTGGGATCCCACTGGGGCGCCTGGGGACACACCGGCACCTGGAGCAGCCAGAGAGCAGCGATCCCACCCAGCAGTGCATCCCCCCCCAATCTGACCCCGAGCTGCTGCCAGACCAGAGTAGCTCTGCAGCTCCTCCGGCACCGGGAGCCAAGGACAGTCAGAGTGGGAACCCCCTGGGAGGGAATGGGGAGTTCCCCAAACCCAACCAGGAGCAGAGGCCTGGAGCAGGCAGGATGTGATTCACCTTCCCAACAGAAACACAACCCCCTGATGCTGCTGGTTCACAGCCCCGGCCCATTTCCAGGCTGGTATCTGCAGCACCTGCCGAGGCATCGGGCCAGGGGCCCAGAGAAGCTCTGCTGTTGGACAGGAGCTGAGTCCAAAACATCCCATCAGCCCTTCAGATCAGCCAGAATTGGGTTTTCTGCAGAGGCACTGACCTCCCTGTGTTGAGGAAGCTCAGAGAGATGGATCTCTGACCCAGAGAGGCATAAATTTAACTAATTTTTGGGTGGTTACGCCCAGTCATGTTGCTGTAGAGATACAGCAGGTTTCAGACCCTCCCTGCAGCATCCAAATGTCACCCAGGACCCCCACATTGCCCTGCAGGAACATGGATCCCTCTGCTCCCCATCTGTACCATGCTGGTTCTTTCTGGTCCTTCGCCTCCTCCACGATCTTATCCAGTGAGTTAAAAAGCCCCTCCAGATTCCCTTCGTTTTTTATCTCCTCGATCTCCTCCTGCAAAGGAAGGACATGAGAGGCAATTCAGCAGGACCCAAACACAGGCACCACTTGTGAGCCCTCGTTGGGCATGGAACCAGGGAATGGTTTGGGTCAGAAGGAATCTTAGAGCTCATCCAGTTTCACCCCCTGCCATGGCCAGGGACACCTTCCACTAGCCCAGGTTGCTCCAAGCCCCATCCAACCTGGCCTTGAACACTTCCAGGGATGGGGCAGCCACAGCTTATCTGAGCAACCTGTGCCAGGGCCTCCCCACACTCAAAGGGAATGATTTCTTCCCAATATCTCATCTAACCCTGCCCTCTGGCAGTGGGAACCATTCCCCCTTGTCCTGGCACTCCCAGCCTTTGTCCAAAGTCTCTCCAGCTTTGCCCTGGATGAAGGCTCCATCCTGGGAATCACCAGGGATTGAGTCTCCATCCCTGGAGGGATTTAACAAACGTATGGATGTGGCACCTGGGGATATGGGTGATGGCCCTGGGGGAGCAGTTGGACCTAATGGTCTTCAGGCTCTTTTCCAACCTTAACGATTCTACAGCTCTTTCAGGGAAAGACAGAGAAGTTTGGGGAGCTGCCTCAGCTTTCTGTTTTTACCATTCAAGAAACGCATTTGCTTCCTTTAAAACCGACGCGTTCAGTGCTTTTTTCACAGGGAGTTTGAAGCCTCTCTGGAGACTCCAATCCCCTCCGCAGCCCCCCTGGGCCCGCTCCCCCCTTCACCTTGATGGACGACTGCAGCTGAGAGATGAACTGATCGTAGATGCTCCTGGTCAGCTGGGGCTGCACCTTGTAGAAGCAGCGGTAGCAGCTGGCGAATCTCTGGTAGCTGCAAGAGCGAGGGGTCAGGGGCAGTGTCGGGGCCGGAGTTCCGGCAGGCGCCTCCCGGCCGTCCACCGCTCCCGCCTCACCTCCCGGCGGTCACTAGCTTCTCCAGGAACGTGTCCACCACGGTGGAGAACACGTGGGCGCGGCCTGGGGCCGCGGGCACGGCCAGGCCAGCGCCGCCGCCGCCATCGCCCTCAGCTGCCGCCACCGCCGCCGCGCCTCCATCGCCGCCCGCTGCCGCCATGGCCGCGCTCTCGCACCGCCGCCGCCGCCTATTGGCTGCCGCCCCCGCCGCTCCCATTGGTCGGGGTGTGGGGCTCCGCCCCCGCAGGCTGCCAGCGCGGGAAGGGGAGCGCGCCCGGGGCGGAGGGGCAGTGGGCGGGCCCTCTGACGTGTGGGCGGGGCCCGGTGGTGGGCGGGGCCTCCCCATGCCGGGCCCGAGCGGCTCAAACCCAAAACGTGTCAAAACCACTCCGATAAAATCACAGAATCAGCTAGGTTAGAAATGGTCTCATCAAGTCCAACCTTTGACCTAACACCACCTTGTCAACGAGACTGTGGCACCGAGTGCCACATCGAGTCTGTTCTTAAACACCTCCAAGGACAGTGACTCTACCACCTCCCTGGGCAGCCCATTGCAATGTCTGGTCACTCTCTGTAAAGAACTTCCTCCTAATATCCGACCTCAGCCTCTCCTGGCACAGCTTAAGGCTGTGCCCTCCTGTCCTACTGCTGGTTTCCTGGGAGTAGAGATGGACCCTCACCTGGCTACAACCTCCTTTCAGCTCTGGGCCTTGAACCAGAGCAGCAAATCCTTCCTCTCTCTCCCAACCACCCTGGAAACACCCTCTTTCCCTGCCCCTGGGTACTCAATCTTTTAATTTAAAACGATCAAGCCTGAAGAATTCAGCGGGAGAAGAAGTAGCCAAGTTCAGCCGAGAGAGAGAGAGAGAGAGAGAGAGAGAGAGAGAGAGAGAGAGAGAGAGAGAAAAAGTGACATTTCCCTTTGCAAGAGCCAACCAGAACCAACCCTGTGTCGTCAGGGGAGTCTGACCTGATGTTTCGGGTGCTCCATGTACTCTGGACTCTCTTTCCATTGTGCAGCCACTGTCACTGCTTTCTCAGGCAGGTCAGGTTCCTCCTAGTCCTACTCCAAAGGCAGAGGGCAAAACCCGAGTAAGCACAGCTGTGACACAACAGAAAGCAGCAGAGTCTCCCCTGGCACAAGTACTCACACACTTAAACTCAGACTTGGGTCTCAGAAGTTTATTAGTTGTCAAGATCTTTGCTGGTTATGAGAGAAACATTAAGCTCACAAGTGTCTCCCCATGCCGGTGCCACCAACCCGCCACGCCACACACCAGGACTGGCCCCGCTGCCCTTGGCAGGGTCCGACTGTCATTGTTCCTGTTAATATCGGTGTCAGTCCCGCTGTGGTGTGAGAGCAGGGACACCCCTGTGAGCTGGGGTGCTGCTGTTCTGTTTTTCAGAGCAGAATCTCCTATTACAGCAAGAGCTGACTGGTGTCAACTTTTAACCACCAAACAGGCAACGGGGCAGGTGCAGAAGGTGCTGCTGCAATAGCTTTGCCTGCAGTCCCGGCACCTGCTGCCTTACTGAGCACTGCAGGAAATAAAGGTGGGATGAAGGGGCCTTTGATGACTCACCCAAAGCCCCATCACAGCACTGCACCTTAGAACTCTGTCCTTCAGCAGAGAAGTGTCTCCCACCACAGCACTCGTTCCACCTCCGGCAGACATGGTGGCAAGTCCAGTCCCTGCCAGGCAGAACCACGATGTTGGGATGAAGGGCAGAGCCACGCCCAACGAGTCCCAGGGTAAGAGATGGCCCAGAGGAGCCCAGCAGCAGCCACAGGTCAGCAAGATCAACACCTTGACCAGAATTCCTGGTCACGGCAGCAAGAGGGATGGAGGCGGTGCATGTCTGTGACCAGAGGTGGATCCCACACTTCCTGGACATGGTGAACTGGGATGAGCACCACGTGTGGGCTGGCAGCATGAGGCAAATCCCAACCACCCAGAGCAGCACAGTGCAGTCAAACAATCCCTTCCCTCCCCCTCCCCGAAGAGCAGCCTCTGGTTTTATCCCCCAGAAGCTTTTACCTGGTAAAATATACAGACCATAGCTCAGGATTCTGATCCAGCAAGTGTGCAAAGCATTGTCCTTGCCCTTCCCAAACAGGATGAGCAGGATTTAAACTCTCAAAGTATTAGCGAACCATCACTTCTTATTCAATATGAACATACCAGTCAGGTTTGAACTGGATCAAAAGCCAGCACAAGGTTTTCCTTCCCCACCTTGCATCCAGTTGTAGCTCAAACCACATTCAGTTCTCATCTGGCTGCTGGTAGCACCACAATTGGACACTTCCAAACTGCATTCTTTGTGCTTAAACTAACTAAAGGTGGGAAGTGGCCACAGCCACCCTGAACATGCAGGATTGACACATCGAACAAGGCCACAGACAACCACTCAGTTCCCCAGAAATCAAAATAAGTTTCCCTAAAATAAAAAAAAATTAAATATCAACAGATAAAAACACAGGTTAGGTGTCAAAACCGCCATCAGCTAATTCCAGTCAGCTGAGCTCCTGACTTGCCTTTGGCCTGCTCGCTGTTTGGAGGGTGAGAGACAGGGAACATTTTCCAAGAACATACAAAACAAGTATGTACAGATCTATTCAAAACGTGGGAAATCAGGTCTGAAGTGGTTCCAGGTTACTCTTGTCTCACACCTTCTTGAAATAAATGTGGGTAATTGGAGAAGTCATTTGTCTATTCTTTGCTTCCACCTTTCCACAGCATAACTGCCACCAGAGCCATCCCACTGGAGGACCCTGCTGCAGGCTGTTGGACTCCCCTCCTCAGAAGTTTGGCAAAGATTAAAATAATTTAAAGAGAATAAACTGGCTTTTTGCTTCAGCCAGTAAGTCTTTAATTAAAAAAAAAAAGGAATTAATAACCTGCCAGGATGTGTTCACACACACCTGGAATGGACTGTCCCAGGCAAACAGCGTTGCCAAAGGTCACAGTTTGATGGTTTTAAGCAAAACCAGCAGCAGAGACTTGTATGACACTCAAACCTAAAGAGGTGAAGTGCAGTTGCTCCTGCATCTGCCTTGTGCTGCGACACCAGCCAGAGACAAAGGCACAGCAGCTGCGTCTCCTCCTGGGCTCTCCCCCATGACAGTCCGAGCTCAGAGGGTTCACAAAGGTTCTCTCCCACCAGCTGCCTCTACCAGTGCCTCGAGTCCACCAGCTCCGGGCGGAGGCTCAGCTTCTTCAGCGTCTCGTACCCCACCACGATGACGATGGTGGAAGGAGTGGCTGAGATGATGCGGGCGGAGAGGCCTTTAGTCAGCCCCCAGGGACCTTCCTCTGCAATGAGCTGTTTGAAGGTGAGGATGATGGAGCTCTTGCCTTCCACCTGCAATGCCAGAACAGACATTCACAGAGCTGCCAGACTGCACGCTGGGGCTCTGCTGCAACTGAAGACTCTGGAGACTACAGGTCTGCCACTCCAACAACCTTTCCAAAGGGAAAGCCCATAGAGCAGGCCAGGCCAGCCCTGCCAGCCCCACTCCCTGAGATGCTCCTGCTATCACTGAGAGCTAATTAAGTGGGTGATACCCAGGATGAAAGGCCCAGGGAAAGCAGAGGAGCAGCTCACCTGAAACCACAGAGATCAGAGAGCCAAGGCCGAGCCCCACCCCAGAGACATGCCAGGCAGGCTGAGCTCTTACCTGGACCCGAGCCCTGACCACGTCCATGGGGTTGGTGAGTGTGGAAGCTGTTGCAGCTGCAAGTGGCCCCGATATCGCCTGCAGGAGGAGGTGGGGACAGTCTTTAGGAGTCAAGCTTGAAAGCTGCTCTGGGAACAGAGAGAGAGGAAAGTTGCAGACTTTCAGTGGCTGCTTATCAGTTCTTTAACTCCACTCCCTAATTCCAACTGGTTTGCAGTGGGCAGAATCCTGATTTACAGCCTGACACCTCCTCCCATGGAATCTCCAAGTGGTGCTTGCTTCCTGCAACAATCAGAAAGCCAGCACAGTGCAAGGAGCAGGACTCATCACCTAGGTAGCCATGGGACACTCCCAGTGCTCTGTCCCACAGTGTCCCATCAGCTCCCACACTAGCTCTCAGGCCTATGGGGCAAACCAGTCAGAATGAGCTTCCATGTTCCCAAAACAGGGTATGGAAACACCTATCCCCTTTAGAATGTGGGGGAAGCCTTTAGACAAGGCTCTATTGGAAGGTGTCTGCAAAGATTCACAAAGGAAGCTGTCACCACCAAGCACACTGTCCAGGAGACATCCCTAGTATTCCACTGTGAAACTCTAAGGAGAAAAGCGCCATGTAGTGCTCATTCCAGATATCCTCACTCTGCTCCTGCTGCTAGGCCAATGGGATTTGAATCTCTCACACTTGTATTGCTGAAGTTGTACAGAAGACAGTCCAAAAGCTCCGTTATTTTTTGATAATGTGGAGGCTTGTGCCCGTCTGACAGGAGGGAAGGAAGTGACTCTTTGACCTGGAACGACGACTGGAATCGGGGCCAGCACTGCACTTTGAGCCCAAGGAGGGTTCAGTGACCCCTGGTGCTGCTCCGTCCAGGGACACAGGATTGGGAAATGTAGCCAAAGCTGCCACTGCCTTTTAAATGCAGCAGGGATGAGGAACCAAAGCTCCCTGTAGCTACCATAACTCTGGAAAGCAAATGTGATGTTCAAGACACCTGGATTTTGAAGAACAGGTGATCTCCAAGATAAACTTTAAGCCCAGTACAGCAGAACCTAAGCTACTCATTACCATCACTTTTGGGTAGAAATTAGGTAAATACAAGCCTAAAAACCACAGCAGCAAAGCTGCACTGCAGAAATCTAAAGGATCATCCCAGGAGGAAATAACCCTTAGCTGGCCAATACCTTTAGTCTTTGGGAACACCCTAAGGAGTACCATTGCTGAGCCACAGAAGAGAACATTCTACTAAGTGCAGTTTTTCATCACAAGACTTGGTGCCGGTTTTAAAGCTACACAAACTGAAGCAAGACCTGATAGACACAAACCCACAGAAGACTTTGCCTTTGTCTCTGCCTGTTGTTTGCCTTTGCCATGAGACTTGGGGCTCTCAAAGGCCTTTTGCCACTTATGAGATCCCTGATTCCCTGTGAACTGAAAGATGGATTATACTTACATGGTGGCTCCAAAACTCTGCCCAACAACAAATGAGGGCCTTCCTCATTTGCAGGAACATTATTTGGGATTGGGGGTAGAGAAAGTTAAAGCAGACACATCAAGCCCCTCTTGCCTAGAGCTATCCAGTTTCAAGTCATCTGGCCCTCACACCCCTCATCTTTATCTCTGCATTGAAACACTGCTGCTCTGTTAAACTTCCACCCAACACCTGGAGAATTTCTTCACACCAGATATAGCTCTCTCTGCTTCATGACAGGTTCTGCTCCTACCCCAAGAGAGAGAAAGCAAATTACGCTGGATCCAGAGTGTCAGAGTTGATCTGAGGGGCTTTTGGGTCACCTGGGATAAGATACATTACAAGCTTCCTTTCACTTACCAGCATAGAAGTGGTAGAAGGGCCACCAGACTGCACTGTTGGGAATATAAGTGAGCAGCGAGGCCACGTAGCCTCTGTAGAAGCCTCTAAAACCATCGGCCTTGAAAATCTGTACAATGATGTCCTTGGTTTGACCAAAGACAAGAAGCCGTTTGCCATCATGGCTCTGCACCTTGAACCTGCCCATGCTTTCCCCTTTCCTCTGCATCATGAGGTGCTGGGAGATAACATCGATGGGCACTGTGATGCTCTGGGCCACCAGGGAGGCTGAGCCGCCAGCCACCAGCGACTTCACGGCGTTGTTGTTGTTGTAGCGCGACACGTACTTCCGAGTGAGCTCGTATGTTGTCACATAGCACTGCCCCGAGATCAGCGTGAAGGTGTTCACCAAAAAGCCACGGTAGAGCCCGGCCGTCCCTTCTGTCCGCAGGATTTTCACAAAGGCATCGAAAGTCCCGTTGTAGAGGCTCTTGCCCTTCTGAACCTGCAGCCGCGTCCGGATGAGCGTGAAGGGGTAAACGCTCACCCGGATCATCATAGTCATGCAAATCCCAAACACGTAGAATTTCCTCTTGTCCAGGTGCTCCCACTCAATGATGGGGATGTTGCGTTTGTCCTCCATGGCTCCTCGGGGTGTGGGAGGAGAGGTCCAGATCTCCCTCAAAGGTAAAGAGCAGATCCAGGCCTAGCCCTCCAGCCTTGACTGACCAGATGGGAAGTGCCGGCACCTGAAATGAGAGACACCTTGGGTAGAGGACAAAGCCCCCGTTTGCTACAGCTGCCCACATCACCTCAGACTGTGCTGACTGTCCTCAAGCACACAACGAGCCCTCACACAGCACTGTGCCAGCAGAGCAGAGGGACTGTAACCTCGGGAGGCAGGATCCTACCACGTGGCTGGTGGTGACACCTTCTCATGTGGCTCCAGCGGCAGCTCGCACACATAGCAGCTCCCACCACAGCCCACACTGCTCCGTGGCAAAGCAAAGCTCCCAGGCTTTGGGAAGCAGGCTGAGAGCCAGAGGATGAGCACCACTCCAGTAGCACACTCACCTGTCAACGGACACACAGGATCACGGATTGCCAACCAAAGCAGCTTCTCCCCAGTCATTCCGGGTCTGTGATGCTCCCAGCTGTCAGGACGTCATTTCAGTTCCAGGTTCTGTACAAAGAAGGAAGTGACAAGTTTCTGTTTGTGTTCCCAGATTCCCTGCACAAATCAGACACGTTTCTTCGGGCATTTCCATTCTGATCTTCCTAAAGCTGGAGGATGATGCAAGCCAGGAAAGGGGGATGAGAAAGTTGTGAAAAGAGGAACAACAGCAGGAAAACAAGGCCAATGCAATGAGACACGTAGAGTCCCCATGTTGATGACCAATACCCTGAAAAGAAAGGGTTAAATCACAGCCTAGGATCTCTCTTGAGCTGCTTCTCAGCTACAGAGCAAAGTTCATCCTCTCTTCCAACACTGCTCCTGGTCTGATAACCCCCCCCAGACTGCCCCCCCTTCCACCACTGGCCATTCTCAGAGCGCCAGAGGCAGGGGGAGGAGGAGGGAGGTGCTGGCTCAGCCTCCTCCAGCAGACCCTTCCCCTCAGGAAGCCCCTAATTCTCTGGGAACCCCCACACAGGGCCAGGCAGCAAGAGAAGGGTAGCTCAGAGAGTCACGCAACACGACAGCGATCGTTTCACTGCCTGCAAGGGCTTTCTTTCCACATCAAAAAAGGCACCTTGGGGTGTTAGGGAGTAACAGATCACTAAACTTTGGGGAAGGGCTTGACTACAGTTGGATCACAGCTTACATTCCAGGTGCTGGCAAATGGTGTTTTCCTGTGTGCCCAGGCACGAGCTGAGCTGTCGGAGAGCAGAGCTGCAGTAAGGAGTGGGAACTGGAATGAGGGGCCCACAACCTGACAGCTAAAAGCAGATTGACCAAGTGAGAACTCAAAGGGGGGGGGCAGTGACCACCACACATCGATTTGAGGGCATTTTACATTTCCACAGTGCCTAAAGGGGCTCCAAGAGAGGTGGAAAGGGACTTTGGACAAGCTCTTGGGTGACAGGACAAGGAGGAATGGCTTCCCACTGCTGTAGGGCAGGGTTACATGGGATATGGGGCAGAAATTCTTCCCTGTGAGGGTGGTGAGGCCCTGGCACAGGTTACCCAGAGAAGCTGTGGCTGCCTCATCCCTGGGAGTGTCCAAGGCCATGTTGGATGGGGCTTGGAGCAACCTGGGCTAGTGGAAAGTGTCCTGTGGGACAAGATGAGGTCTAAGGTTCCTTTGAACTCAAACCAGTCTGTGATTCTGTGAGAAATGTCTCCCCACTGCAGCCTCCGTGGAGAGCTCACAGGGTCCAGAGCCACTCAGTTAAAAGGCAGTAACAAAACAACTGGAAATTATTTACCTCTGGCACAGAGAAGAAACTACAGTTATGAAATTACAGCAGGGCAGGGGTGGAGGTGCCATTAACTGACCATTTCATTGCCTGTCTGCCAAGAAAATGTTTGCTGAACAGCAGCAAACAGCATTACAGGCTGTCACAGACAGGGCAGTTAAAAATACCTAAGGGTACCAGGTCCAACACTTTTACCAATGCAAAGAGAACTACTCTTCATCCTTACAAGCAATTGCCTTGGCAGATAAGGCACAACAAACACCATGGCCTGGCTAAACAAAGCCAGGATTGCTTTAATTACAATTATAGCATCACTGGGTTCGCTAAGAGTGCCATGATTAATTCACAAAGCTTCCTGCCCAGGAATTATCTGCAAACAGAACCTATGAAAACAGAACTTGGTTCTTGTTAAGTAAGTTAAGTTAGTCTCACTAACTCAATATTTTATTAAAAAAAAAAAAAGTCTGGTCAATGCAATTTCCTGGTGAAGCCTGAGGGTTTAGTCCATACTCCAAATTCCTCTGCCATCCAAGGACAGAAACAAGCTCCCCATGGGAAAGCAAAGGACTGCCTGCAAAAAACATTCTCATTGCTGCAATAAGGAAAACAAAATAATAATAATAATGAAGTATACTTGATTTTTATGTAGTTTCATGTACTCTGGTGCTTTGGGTTTAGAATTTCAGCCATAACCCCTTGAGGAAATAGCTGCATTTGCTCTGGACTCATTACAAATAACTCCTCTCACCGGGGATCTGAACTAGAAAGACAAAAAGTCCTAGGGCCTATGGGCACTAAAAGCCCCTCCTGTGTGGAAGAGGGAAGGTATGCTGGTATCCCCAGGGATGACCAGCACAGCCACAATTCTTGTTCTGCCAACACAAGAGTTTCTCTCAGAGCATTTAATTCTTACAGAAATTTAGACCAGGGCCTTGCTCAGGGCAGAGATCCAGGGATCCTGTCACATCCATTCAACAACTCTTGGATGATCTTTCAAGTAAATTCTCCCAAGAACTCACCTGCTCTCCAAACCAAAGCACCAGTGCACCAGGTTCCCTCCCGGCTCCCACAGCCAATTCTGCACTCTGGAACAGTCCAGACTACCCCTCACTGGTCCCTTCTCACCCTGCACAGAACAGCATTTCTTCAATTTCTGTCTGGAAATCCAAGCAGGGGATACCCAGCAGGCTGTCCCCTGCCCTCTAGTTAGTCTGGGCACAGCCTCAGCCTCCTGAACACAGAACTCAATTTAGCACAATGCTCCAGTTAAGGCCCTTTTAAACGTTGCCCTGTCAGTCCAGTCCCCAAAAGCGCTCTGGCTGCAGCTGAAGCTAAAGATGATTCCCTGGCAAATAGAGACAGGGCCTTTGTGTCCTCTGGCCAGGGCTGTGTCCTGCCCAGCATGTTAATGCCTCAGCACCCCCTGGGAACCACCCGGAGCAAGCCCCAGCTGCTCACCAGGGTTGCCTGTGGAGATGCTCCCAAGCGGGAAAGCACGAGATCCACAATCCCACTGCGAGGCTCCAATCCGGAGCCCCTTCCCTGTGCCACGACACCAGCCCCAGCTGGCAGCTCCCCTGGCAAAGTCCTTAAGCGTTCACTTCTTAAACTCACCCCGGGGTGGAAGCGGCACAAAGCCGAGGAGGGGGTGGTGTTCTGAATACAAACTCGGGGGGAGCTCTGGATACAAACCCGGGGGGGGAACTGTGGATATAAACCGCCGGGGGGGGGGAAACTGTGGATATAAACCCCAGGGGGAAGCAAGGATCCGGCCCCAGCCTCGCCGAGAACCCGCAACCCCCCCGGAGCAGCTGTCGCTCAGTAACCGCTGCGGCACAGACACTTCCTTCTCCAGCACCCCCAGCCCTGCACTCAGGAGTCCCCCCCCACGCTCCTACTCCCCGGGCGAAGGCCCCAGCGCTGGTCCTTCGTCTACAAAAGCTCGGCCATGCGAACAGGAGCAGAGCTAGGCCTAGGGACCCGCTCAAGGTCACTGCGCGGGCCACACTCGTCCCCAGCCCCCTGTCCCGGGGGTCTCCCCGCCTGGCCCCGGGGCGGCTTCGCTCCCGCAGCCCCGGGGGGTTCCAGACCCTGTCCCGGGGCTCCTCCAAAGTCGAGGTCTCGCAGTACCCGGCCCCTCCCACACCACCCGCGCCCCCCCGGTCTCCCTGTGCCCCCCCGTTCCCCACCTGCAGCTCCGCCGTCCCTCCCCACAGCCCCCCCGCACCCCCTCGGGGCCTCGCTCAGCCGCCGCCGCCACCACCCACGCCAGCCCCGCACCGGGCAGAGCCACCACGGTCAGACAGCTCTCCCCCCTCCGCAGGCCCGGCCCCACCGCCCCCTCACCTTCGGCAGCGGGCGGGACCCCCCGCTCGACCGCCGGCACGGCCCGCTCCGGCCTCGCCGCCCCATGGCCGCCCTCCGGCCGGAAGTGACCGGTGGCGTCAGCGCCCGGGCGCCGCCGCCATCTTGGGCAAGGGCTGAGGCCGCGCCGGAAGTGCCGTGTCCCGCGCCCGCAGTAAAGATGGCGGCGCCGCCCCAGGAGGTGGGAGGGGTGCGCAGGGAGGGGACGCGCGCGCCTTAAAGGGACCGCGCCCAATTCACTGCTCTTAAAGGGCCAGCGACTGTCAACCTGCTGCGCGTGGGGCCTGTGCTTCCTGGGGGGAATTCTGGAAGGGCCGGAGGCACAGCGGCAACAGGGGACAACAGCAGGGATGCACGCACAGGGAGCGGTGGGCAGGTGTAAGAGAGCCCCCCCCCCCCTTCCTCATGTCGTTGCCCCTCATTTCACCCCTTATTTCACGTGCCCACCTCGCACACCTGCACACGCATCCCACATGCTCTGCACACGCATGTGTGCATGTGTGTCACGCCCTGCACGTGCCTGAGCTGCACGTGAACACGTGTCCCCCCCATGCACACACGTGTTGCCCTCGAACACGCCTCGCACATCCCCCCACGTTTCCCGAAAGGCCTGGGCTGGCGCTGCCCCCGGCGCTCCTCCCTCCCCAGACCCAGCAGTGCCATGCGTTGAGTTTTCCTTTTTTAATAAAAAAAGCAAAGGGTAGGAAAATTTACAGCTGATTTGGCTTAGAAAGGGCGGATCAAAGGCATCGGAAATGGGGGGGCAGCTGGGGAGGACTGAGGGGGCTCCACTGCCCCAGGGCCATGCAGTGTCCGGGAAGGGGATCTGGCAGTGCAGGGTGGGTGCCCGTGGGGCCGACCCCATGGAGCCTGTCAGGCTCAGCCTTCCCTGTGTTGAGGTTTTAATGGATCCTGGGGGTATTTCCCTGGGTGACACCAGTGACAGCACCTGCCATGTACATCCATCCATCCCCACCCCACATCCTGGCCCCACAGCCACGTTCCTTCTCTGTGCCATGTCCTTTCCGTGTCCCCCTGACCTGTCCTTGCCCCCTGCCCTCTCCCTATCCCACCTCCTTGCCCCATCCTGCCCCTGCTGCTCCTAGGGCCCACCCCACCCCCTGCCCCAGCATGTCACCTTATGTTAAAACACGTGTATTAAATAAAAAAAACAAAACCAAGAAAACCCAACCCAAACCAAAACAACCCCCACCCCCCAAAAAAAATAATCAAAACCCCTTCACATTCACATCCCCTCCCTCCCACCCTCCCCAGGGTATCCCCTGACAGAGTCACGCCGTGTTCTGCCCCGGCACGTGGAGCCGGTTGTTGTCCATGTCAATGTCCCCATCAAGCTGGAGGCAGCAAGCGTGGGAACCTTCGTCGTCCTCCTCCTCCTCAGCAGCGGCTCCGGGCGCCGGGGGCTCTCCGGTGCCCCCGTTGAGGGGCACCTTCTCCCGGTGGCGGGATGGGGGGCTGTGGGGAGCGCTGCAGCCCCGCACCTTGCTGCGGGCCTTGAGCTGGTCGCGGTAGGCGAGCAGGGCCAGGCAGGCAGCCGCGGTCACTGTCACCACCAGCAGCACCGTCACTGTCACAAACTGCGACCAGTACGACACGGGAGTGCCAATGGCCGAGGACCCCCAGGCCAGCTCCTCCTCATCCAGCCCATCGCCCAAGGCCGCCCCAGCAGAGCCTTTGAGCTGATAGTGAGCCACGGTCCAGGTGTAGCCGTTCTCCGTGGCCTGGCACTTGTAGATGCCGGCTGTCCCTGGCTGCATGATGACCACCAGCGTGTGGTCAGGCAGCTGCATTGTGTCCTTCTGGGCACTGCTGGGCTGCTGCCAGCTGTAGGTGGCCAGTGCAGAATGGCAGGGGCACAGCAGGTGGACGATGGTGTTCGGCTGGGGGTTGAGCACTGTGGGTGTTGAGAGTGGGGTGAGGCAGAGCACCCTGTGTGACCCATCCCACCCCATGTGCCCCATCTCACCCTGTGTGACCCATCCCACCCCATGGGCCCAATCTCACTCTCTGTGCCCCGTCCTGCTCCACGTGCCCCATCCCACCCATGTGACCCATCCCACTCTGTGATTCGTTCCATCCCATGTGCCCCATCCCGTTCTGTGTGCCCCATCCCAACCCATGTGCCCCACCCCACCACACTCCCATACTCAACCCTGTATGGTGGGATCCTCTGGTGCCCCCCAGGCCCGGGGCATGGCCACACTCCTCCCGCGGTGGCATGTGGTGGCCGGGCTCCCCGTCTCGATGTCCTGGAGCCACATGCTCCTGCGGCCGGTAGAGCGGGGTCAGCACCCCAGTCCCCTCTGCATCCCCCTTCCCATCCTCATCCTGGTGCTCACCTGTCCTCAGTGGCCGTGGAGGTGGGCTGGCAGGAGCCCTCGGGGCTATGCCAGGCACAGTAGGGGTCCCGTGCCAGCACACACTCGGCGCAGCTCCGGTGCAGGCTGCAGTTGGCCAGTGGGACCTGGAGGACACCTCTGGAGTAGCCCACATAGAGGGTGCCCTGTGGAGGGAGAGGTGTGTGGCTGAGCCACCCCCCAGCCCCCACGCCAGTGTTGGGGTGGCTGTTGGGTGGTCCCATTTCTTACCTTCCCTGGGGCCAGCAGCAGGTTCTTCACCGGCTCTGGTGTCTGGAAGAGCTCGATGCTCTCCACAATGTGAGGACCCTCGGGCAGCTCCACTGCCTTGTGCAGGAGACCCTTTGCTGTGGGGCACAGGGGACATCACTGGGGCTTTGGAGCCAAGGGCAGGGTCAGAGGGGTGGCCCTGTGTGCACCCCCCATAAACCCACCTGTGGCCAGGAACAGGACGCGGTAGGTGGTCCCTGAGATGCCACGAGTCTCATCCACTGCGATGCGCGTGTAGGTGACATCTGACTTCACCAGGAGCGGCCTCCCCTGGATGGGTGACACCTTCTCATCCATCAGGAAATGGTCTTTCATGAAGGTGAGGGCTTTGTCTGAGGAGGGAGCCACGGAGCACTGCAGGGAGAGAGGGGTCAGTGCTCTGAAACTGAGGGGAAACTGAGGGGAGGGTGTGCTGTGTCACAGCGCTGCCCTGTGCCAGCATCCTGCTTGCAGTGCGAGCACACTGGGCAAACTGTGACAGACAAACCCCTTCCCTTGGGGACCAGCATTGTTCCTGGGAGGGTCCAGTCCCCCAAGGTGGGCAGCACTCACGCTGCCAGGCCGGGGGCTCATGTCAGGGCCGCTGTAGACAGTCCAACGGGAACTCTCCTTGTTCAGCTCCTTGTACTTGCCCTCAAAGACCTTCTCCAGATCCTTCTGGCTGTAGGCACAGACGGCGGCACTGCCCGCCCTGCCTGCCTGCCTGTGGGGACATCCAGGTGGGCACCAGGAGGCCGCAGGACTCCGGGCACCTGTCACACCCCTGGGCACTCACCACTGTGAGGTGAAGACGGCGTAGAAGTCGGCGCCGCCACCACGGTGGGGCAGGGCGAAGGCGTGGTGGATGACATTGAAGGGGAAGTGGCCGGGCTCGGAGCACACAAGCTGTGCCTTCAGGAATGTCGTCCACTTCTTCTGCAACACCTTGTCCCCCCCCCCATCGCTCTGTGGGAGTCAGAGGGTGCTCAGCAACAGGAGCTGGATACCCCCATTTATCCCCTGTCGTTGTCCCCCATCATTGTGCCCTGTCTTTGTGCCTTGTCATCATCCCCCATCACTGTACCCTCCATGGTTCCTGTCATATTTATGATCCCCCATCATCATCCCCTGTCATCGTCCCCCATCATCGTCCCACTATTGTCCCTCATCATCATCATCTCCATCACTGTCCATGTCATTGTCCCCTGTCATCACACCCCATCATTGTGCCCCCATCATTCCCCACCATCACCCCTCATCATTGTCCCCTGTCATTTTCCCCCATCATCATCATCTTCCCCCATCTCTGCACCCCCATTGTCCCCTGTCATTGTTCCCTGCCATCACCCCTGCACCCACCTTGCAGACACGGGCCACCCGCGGCACCAGGAGCCGCTCGAAGAAGTCGAACTCTTCGGCTGTCTCCTCGAAGAAGAAGTAGACCTTGTCGTCCCCAGGAATGCTGAAGGAGGCCACGAAGGCAGCATCGTCTACAGGCATAGCCAGGGCAGGTGGGTGAGGAGCTGGTGTCGAGGGGGCTGCAGGCACCCCTGGCACAGGTGTGTCCTTCCCAGGACCAACCCTCTGCTCACCCGAGAGCCAGCGCAGGAAGGCGTCTGTCTTGAGCAGGGTGCGGGTGCCCAGTGAGCGGGAGATGATGGGCTCGTTGCCCTGGAAGTTGTTCATGGTGCCAGTGTAGAGCTCACCATCTGCTCGGGGACAGGGCAGAGGGGTGGAGCCATGGTGGGGACACTGTCACCCTCCGCTCCATCCCAGGGGTGTGCCCACCTGTGGGGCCACTGGCCTGTACTCACCCACCAGCAGGGCCGTGTAGTTGTGCTGGGGGTCAAAGGGGCACTGGCCCTTCCCATCCAGGAAGGGTTGTCCTCTGCCGCTGGACACCAATGTGAAGTTCTCCAGGTGCTGTGGAAGGGGGAGAAAAATCAGCCAAAGGAGCGAAAACAACCCCAAATCTGCAGGGAATGGATGTGGAATCCCTTGCAGACATGGGGTGGCCTGTGTCTTCAAGGTGGGTCCAGGGATGATGACAGGGGACGATGGGGGGTACCCAGACCCAGCTCCTGTCACCTTTCCCCACTTTCCTGTTGGGGAGTGATGGTCTCCATCACATCCTCAGTCAGAGGGAAACTGAGGCAGGGACAAGGAGCCTGGGGTCACCTGAGGGGACCAGAACCCAAAATCAGTTTCCCTGCCAGGGGAAGAGTCACTGGCAACTGAGTGAGAATCACTGGGTGCTCCTTTATGGAACACAAAGATGCCCCTTGTGGGGGGTCACCCAGCACTCCCCATCCCGGGGACATCTCGTGATGTAATTCACTCCTGGGGCTGTATTTTGTGGGTCCTCAACAAACACAACCTGCCCAGAGACCCCCCCAGGCCCTGTCCTGGGTGGGACACTCACGATGTAGGTGCACGCAGGGCTGAAGGCATAGGTCCCACAGACGTAGAGGTGGGTCTG